GCTGCTGCTGCTGTTGTTGTTGTTGTTGTTGTTGTTGTTGATATTGTTGTTGTTGTTGTTGATTTTGTTGTTGTTATTGTTGCTGTCGAAAATGTTGTTACTTCTTTCTTGACCTTTGTGTAGCCTACATAGTCGTTGATGCTACTATCGCCTCTTTTGTTGTTGCTGTTGTAGTAGCAACTGCTGTCATTGTAGTAGAAAGCTGTGCACGTGAGCACGTTTTACACTGGTACAGATGATAACCGACTAGATAACTTCAGAGGGATCGAAGGCCATGGTGTCCCTTTCTCAACCCAGGTATGACGCAAAAAAACTGCACTGATCACTAAAGGTGAAGCGCTTCATCGAAGTCGAAATTTTGAATCTGCTTGCCATTACGCAACTGGACGTTGAAATCCGATTTGAAAAACAAAACAAACCACAAACAAACAAAGAGAATTATACAACCGCATTGTACATCATATTTGGTACTGAATGGCGTCACATCAAAACCCGCAACTTCGATGAACCTTTGCAATAACTCGTATCTTTATCTAGTCAGAGTACTATCTACGAACTAAGATTTTTATACATGAATTACATGTTGCTTCACTTCTTCTGCAATTTACCCACAGTATAGGCCTATAAATATCGACATTGGCGCTGAAGAAGAAGACGATTTGTATCATGCCTCAGATAGAAAGTCTGTTAGACTAGGCCTACTTAGAACAATCTTTGCTCCTACCCTTTATGTACAAGTACAAGCTACAGTCTTCCACCAATACTATCCCACACCCTATGATACGGGTGTTGCCGTTTTTGGGTTCGTTTTATGGAATTCTTTCAGTATACAGGAGGGGCCCATTTTGTAGATGGCAACTGTCTATACTTTGCACCTTAATCAGACAATTAAATTACATGTACTTATAAACAAAGGCGAAGTGTGGACTTAAATTGCCAAAACAAACAGCTATGAACTATAAGTGACCAAAACAACACAGAAAGAAAAAAAAGGTCATTGTAAAATTACCCCAAATCAAAAACACTGGAAAAAGGTAAGCACATAAAGAAAACAACAATAATAGCAACAGCATTAGCAACAATAACAGCAACAACAATAGCAACACCACCACCACCACCGCCACCACCACAACCACCACCAACAGCAACAGCCGAAACAAGTAATGAAAGTTTATATAAGAAAGTCCAGGCCTAGATAAAAAATATAACGATATTTAGAGGCCAGAAAATCAGGGGAGAAAGAGGGAATAAACATAAACCATCTTTCGCACAGGATATCAAGGGGACCGAAATATGGGCCCAAAGAGAGGGCACAGCCCGGATTTGCGTATTGCGTCAAGTAAGTTCTGAATGAGGAGCTAAAGTTTACTTTTGCTGTAAAACCTTAACTCACAAATATTGGAATGCAGAACGCATGTCTGAGTCCAAACAGGAAAATAATGCAAATCAGCAGTCACATCAAAGCATGCAATCACATCAAAATGAGAAATTACAACATTGTTTTTAGAGACAAAGCAGTCTATAACATTAACAGCAATTAAAAGAGAAAAACAATTCGTTCGATACGTAAAAAACAAACAGAATTAAAAAAAAAAAATTGTCGAGAGAAGCAGCACTTAGTAACTAGTTGATGTGAAGTAGCCTACATAACAATATATTATTTCTCTGATAGCGACGGCACGTGGAAAAGTCGATGTAAGCACGTGTGGAAAGTACAATTTTATTCTACCCCTCATTTTTAAAATACGTTTAACAAAATCTTTCGCGCATGACATCACAGTGCATTCAGTTGATCTTAACAAATCATTGATAGTCTACGTTTTGGAAATGTTAATTTAATCAGTGTCACAGAGAACAGAGCATTGCAAACAACATTGTTTCAAGTCTGCTTTGGTGACGTGATGAAAGGGCCGCCATATAAAGTGATGAAATTTACATATATCTAATTCATGAGAGGTGTCGGTTCGAGTCCATATGCCCCGAATTCCGGGAACAAGGAAAATTATGCTCAATTGACGAGACAGTCAAGGGTGCCGTAACTTAACTCACATAGCTACCACCATACGTACACGGTATCATAGATGTATGATAAAGTACAAGAAAAAGAAACTGTCTACAGTTCATGAGGCTTCCATCAGGCTTATATTTTTTTAAGATTTTGTCTTGTGCAGTGTCAAGTAGAATCTATCTCTGTGAGCCGTTTATTTATGTTTTCTAACACCTGCTTCAAATGTATTTTTAAAAATCAAATTATATTACTTTCTATCAGAACATGCCGAAAAATAAAGATGAAATGAATAAAGGTTCACATTTTGTTTGTTTGTAAAGTCGCGATTTCCTAGAAACCGTGTTTTCAGAATTGATGGTAGTTTTGTTTTGTTCTGGGGGGTTTTTGGTCTAAAAAATCTAGATCTAGATCTAATCCTGTTGGTGATAATGAGAGAACAAAACTTGTCGACCTACCTGTCTGGAAACGGGATGGAAAAGAAAGATCCAACATAAACTGTAGCAGCTCTTGTGGGAGCGTTCGAGTGTTGGCACCACAGTTTGAATTAACCCTTTCGTGTCTGGTAAGTATAGAGTCTACCCTTAACTCTACACTACTTACTGATGTAACTCCTTGAGGACGTGCATTTTGTGACGTTTGAAGACGTGCTGTTTTGTTTCACAACAGAATCATAACAACTTCGTCCTCATACACATTTTTCAAATCTGTTTCTTTATCTCGATTCTAAAGAGACAGACAATAATTTGCTATTAAATTCTCCTGTTGTCTGGACATCCCACGTCAGTTGTTTTTTCTTCTGTTGACGTTGAGTGTCCTGTAAACAGCAGAAACGCAAGGAGGGGGGGGGGGGGGGGGGGGGTAGGGGTGTCGATGGCTAGATTTCATCAATGTTAAATTAAACCCACCATCTTTCGAGAGTGAAAATGATCAAATGTTATTGCAGTTTAAAAAATACAACAACAACCTAAACTTGATATTTTAAAAAGCAAAGAATCGAAAACATCCGTCATGTGGTTGGGGAAAAAATGTCAACTTTGGTGCTGTGAATACTAATTTAAGTACCAAAATGTTTTTATAATAAGACTTACATTTTAGTGTATATTATGTACTTGGTATTACTCATGTGGAAGGAAAAGCGTAAAGACTCCAAAGACTAGATGTTTTTATACAATAAAAAGTGGTACCTTTCTTATGATCGTCAGTATACATTATATTATTTTAAAATACATTTGTGCCAAGGATTTAGATGGAGAGGTAGATCTAGTGTTATTTTGTGTTAAAATTTTTATATTCATTTTACTCTTTCAAATTCACCGCTTCCTCCTTTTCATTTTCATCCATCTCTGAGGCAGCAGTTGCTGCATTTTTTCTACTTCAGGTGTCTGAAGCAGACATTGACGATGGGCGGTGTCTCACTTATTCTGTCTCCGCGGTTTTATGCACCCCGCATAATTTAGCAAAATTTGACCATTTATTGCATAATTTCTTATTATTTTCCTTTATCATTCTTTGTTAAAATTAACAGAATCGAACAATTTCACATTTTTGGGTTTAGTTTGCATAATTTCAGATTTTTTTGCTTAAAACCGCGGGGACAGCTTATTCCTGTTGTCCGACTTCTTGGTCAGCTCAGTTTTTCTCATAGTGATAATTATTGAAAAGCTGTTCATACATCTGTGGTAGTACTTTATAGACGGTGAAAGATCTTGCCAGTCTGATGGTGTTTGGGCGCATGAAATCCGCAGCTTGCACTGTATACTTCACAGGAAGCCGAGGATGTTTCTAAATGTTCTAGGGTCTGCTGGGGGTAATAATAGCTGTAAAGCGCATAGAACGTGCTGCTGAACGTGGATATGCGCTATATAAATTAATGCAAGTATTATAGCATATAGGCTTATTATTATAGTTTTATTTTAACACTAACTGAAATAGAAGTTAAAGAAAAACCCAACAGTTTGAGAGAAAAGAGTTAAGGACTAAGTTCTCTGGCCTCAGTCTCACTGACCCACTTTTGCAGAGCGCTGCAGGTTGGGAGCACGCGGCTGTGAGGACGGAGCGACCCTGCTCACCGAACTGAGGCTACTTCGCAACAACAGCAGCAACAAGAACAATAAAATATAGCAACACCAGTAGCAACAACGTCATCAAAACTAACATTAATAATCCCCTCTTCCTTCTCATTGTCATTCTCATCTTTATCCTCATCCTCCTCTTCTTCCTCCGTTTCTTCTATATCTTCTCCTTTTTCTGATACTCCTCCTCTTTCCTCTCCACCAAATCATCATCATCATCATCGTCATCATCATCATCATCATCATCATCATCATCATCATCATCATCATCATCATCATCATCATCATCATCATCATCATCATCAATCACAGCTGCAGGAAAACATACCCGCTAGATCTAGATTTTGTGTTACTTTTGTCCCGAAAAAGAACACAGTTGTGAGAGACACAAACTTCAAACCAACCATAATATTATTAGGTATGATCCTCGTTTTGAGACCACACCAGGAGTTCGTTTCCCCCTGGCCGTATTTTCTGTGCTCGGCGTGATCGGTCACATGTCGATGACCTCCCGCTGAACTCTGGGGCGGGTACAGGTGAGATGCAGATGTAGGTGAGCCCAGGTAAAGTGAGTGGGTTTCATGGGCATGTCTAATCACTCATGATACCGCAGGGCTTTGGAACTTAAGCGTGTGGGTTGAGGGGGTGGGAGTGACAGAACAAGAAAAAAATGGGGTGGGAGAAGGTGGGGGAGGGGGCAGGATGGTGGTGGAAAGAAATTCTGCTGCTCACTCTGAAGAGATATCTACTTTCTAGAGGTTAAGACGGTAGACCCTTGCCCGGTTTTACGAACAGAGGGAAATGTCAAATAGCAAGGTAGATTTGACAGCATGTGGCTGAGTTTGTAGTAGTAGCTCTAGATCTATCGGGGATCCGATTTGTGAGGAACATAAATCAGTATTTGGGCGGTTTTTGAGGGTGCATTAAGCAGTACTCAATTTCCGTCTCAGTTATAATATTTGACGCGTATCGCTCAAGGGAAGTAACTCAGCTAAATTATCTTTTTTTTTCACTCGGAAGAGTCTGTGTATTATAATTAATTTGGTCTCGATGATGATTAAGAAAATAACTATATTATTCTTAACCTGATCCAAGTCACCATAAGTTTTTTTTTCCACTGTGGAAAACAATGATGATGATGATGATGATGATGATGATGATGATGATGATGATGATGATGATCACGAGGCGAAACGTTGAGATATTAAACAAATTTTAAACATTTTATATTGTTATGTTATTATGTATGAAATTCAAACAAGACTCTCCCTCCTACTCTGCTTTCCAAACAATGATGACGATGACGATTTTTGTTTGTTGTTTCCTTAATGGGCTTGACGGACTCCACGAAGAAAACTTCGAGCGAGAGCGAGGCTCGTTTTCGGTTCCATTGTCAATATGCTTAGCGGCACCTCCACTCGTCCAAATATCTCCATTCGAATTACCATTGTTTCTGGACATATAAAAAAACATATGTTTGACATCCTACTTTTCATTGCCGCATCTTCGGCAACATGGGCTGAGCTCTTCGTTTACAAAGTGCTTATACCATCTTAAACTCCAATGATGGTCCGACCGCAGTCTCGCTAGCTCAACCTGGTCCCAGCGACATGTGATAGATTTTTGTTCCTGTTATGATGATGATGATGATGAGGATGAGGATGAGGATGATGATGAGGATGAGGATGATGAGGATGAAACCTTAGTACTCCAAAAGTATTCGAATCGTTATGTCTTACAAAAAACTCACGTTTGAATTTGATCTGTGTAATTTGATATTGGTCTAATATTACATAGAGATCACGTAATGAGGAAGACTGAGTTATCGGCAGTTCCTAAAGATGAAAGTCAACTGCCGCTGAAATATTGTTTTCGCTATAGCAGATGCTAGAGCCAAGTTTTTTTGTTTTATTTTGTTTTGTTTTTTTGCATACTAGAATCTAGCCTACCTCTAGACGAGACCAAAGGTGTCCTGGCAAGATGAATCTCGTACTGTGTGGGCCCATTCATGGAAACCTAACAAGTCGGACCAGTGTCTACTCTTACTAAGCTTTACTCCCCCTCAACATCAGGCGATTCGAGGGGACGTCTGACCTTGGGAAAGACAAAGCGTTTTCTTCTCGCTCTTCACCTCTGCCACAATGAGGTATCGGGGGGAGGGGTGTCTTCTGAAGAGTATAACATGTGTATGTGTGCAAGAGCAAATATTCCGAGGAAGGAGGGGGAGAGGTACAGAGAAGGGTGAGAGAGGGAGGAGGGGGAGGAGGCGTTATCTTATGCTCTGGTTGTTCGTCTCTCCTCAGAACCTCAGAGAAAGTCGAAGGGCTGTTACTTCTTTGTTTTTATTCTTCTAAAATGTAAGTTATTCTCATTTGAGAACATTAGCAAGCAGTGGCAAATTGAGTACGCTTTTGTTATACAGAATTGAATCATTTTTTAAAGGTGGAATCAGGCCCTCGTCAATTTTTTGGCTTATGGGGTTATTGGTATTATCTTAAAGCCTGTTCATTTGCTTAGGTTTTGAAGAATAAGATATGTATCAATTTTGAATAGAATTCGAGATATTTGTGATTGAAAGAGATGGGGGTTACTTGGTGTCATGAGTGGAATTAGCGAGAAAATTTTCGCCAAAGTTAGGTGACTGCAAATTTACCTTGG